TGTCAGTTTGTGAACGTAACATAGTAAACACTGTTTACTATGTTCCATTTTATGCATGAATAGGAGTCTATACAGACTCCTATCCATTCATCTACAGTGCAGCTCAGGCTGCAGAGAAAGGGACTGTCTTCAGTCCCTCTCTCTGTCTCAAAACAGAGACATTAGACATGAGGTCTCTCCAACCCCCCCCCCCCCCATTGAAAAAATATGTTACAAAATAAAATCTTATTTGGTAAAAAATATATATATAAAGTTGTAAAAACATTTTAATAAAAAAATAGTAAGGCTAGGTTCTCACTAATGTGGGCTGTGTAGCCCACATTTGTGTGGGAATGGCAGCCCATTCATTTGGTTTGTCAGGAAAGGGCTCACTGCTGTTGGTGCTGTGGCTCACCTGCTCTGTGGGCTGCAATACCAGGACTTACCAGCGAGTGCCTTTCAGCAGCCAGGATCTCACCTTCTGTAATCAAGCCATCACCTGAGGCTGATTGCAGGAGGTGTACTTAAACAGTAATCAGGCCTGTAATCAGTGCCTTGGTGTTTATTTCCCATGAGCCTGTGTTATCCTTTTTCCCTGAACCTGCTACCTGCTACCTACTCCTGTGATCTACCTGCTTGACTCTGACTACGATTGAACTCCACCTGCACCGACCTGGCTCTCTCTTTGACTATCCACTTTCCTACTCCTCTGTACCTTATCCGCCTGATTGATCCTAACCCGGCCTGCCTGACTATTCTACCTCTCCTGTACGCTTTTATTCCATGTCCTGTCTTCCTCCCTGCGCCCATGCTTGATCTCCTGTATATGACCACGGCTAGCCCTGACTATGCTTGTATTTCTGTACATGTATATATTGGGTGAAGGTTTTGGTTATTTGGTTTTTGTTTGCACTATGCGTTTTGTATACTGGTGTATCTCACAATAAATTATATTATCTACATTAGTAAATAGTTATTGATTCAGCGCTAGAGCATTATAATCAGTAGGATCATATATAACCTTAATACAAGCAAATAAATAAAAAACGAACAGAATCTGCTATAGTGAATCACTTAGTGCAATACCTGCAGAAAAAAGGTTCAATGGAACCTAAACAAAGTGATTTAGAATATATATTCCCTTCAGGGAATTAAACATTTAGTGTTTCCCTAAATAGGGACAATAATAATCATACAGGTGATGTGTGCAAACAGACCTTATTAAAACATAGATCCAACAAAAATAAATAAAAATGCCCATCAGTAATTAAATTTTCTGTAAAATCACATCAATCATGCAATTTTCAAACGTGATCATGCGTTTGGTGATGGGTGCAGTAATATCCAAAAATGGCAGGCATGCGCGCTCACCTTCCCACTGCGACCCCAAAGGGGCCACAACACTTTTTGGATCCCCGGATCCTGCTAGTAATCACTGGGTAAGTACAGGCTTTGCAATCCTTATCAGTACCTCCTTCTCTCTCTTTTATACCTCCATCCACAATAGGTAATAGATCCGCTCAGGCCAGTACATAGTGTAAAACCATAAAACAGAATGCCTCCATAGTGTAAAACCATAGGTTTAATAGATAGAATAAAACGCCAAGTGCTCACTTACATTGTAGCAGAAATATACAGGCTTCTCATCATCATTAGGATATGTGTGCTGTATACACCCTGGAGTTCAAAAGATGGCATCAACCGGAAGTAGGTCACTACGCTGCCTCTACGCGTTACACCACGCCCACGTGGCTTCCTCAGGATCTCTGGTCATATCCAGAATACTGACATGAATAGGCTGGCATGCCCACATTTAATGCAAAAAAAGTGCATGCACCTTTTCCAAGTGCATCCGCAGGTAAACTGCATGGTCTTTTTGACCATGTGGTTTCCCTGTAGTTCCTGCACCTGCAATCATGCTGTGGGCTGAGATGCGTGGGGGTGCCATTCAAAATGAGCAGTGTGATTCAGCTGCGGGGTGGTTGTGGGTGTGGGAACAGTTGTGGTATTGGCTGTGTTGTGGTGATTTTGCTTTTATAGGTGTGATTCCTGCACCCGCAACCTGCCTGTAGCTTGCGGGCTAATGTGCACCAGGGCTATGGTTAGATTTAGAAATGCATCTAAATTTCCCTTACCTCTAAAGCCCAAGGCTATGCTTGTGATGACTTTTGGACTATTTATTAAGAAAAATGATATTATCCCAAATAGGGAATTCTAAGCTGAATGTGATGGGTTAACATAGTTGATCAACTGCAAGTGACCTTCCAGGAAGCTACCTTAAACAATGAGTGGAAGAGACCTGTTTAAAATACAATAAGATTAAACACCACTATTTGAGTTTTTGCAGATGCTCAAATAAAGTACCATAATTGACAATCGTGGGACGAAAACCTTATTGACTCTGGTTCTCCCAAGACCTTGCAGATGTGTATATACTGCACTATACTCACTTGCTTCCTGCTACCTGCGGCCATCTTGCTGAGAACTTCCAGCTGCCATTTTAAAGGAAAAGATTTTCGCCAGAGACGCTGATGCTGATTTAAATTCTGGTGCCTGACTGACCAGAAACATTTTCTTTTCCCAACTGCATCCCACTGGGAGGCCTTAAAAATCGAGATTCTGGGAGTGGTGAGACTGCCAAAATACTGAAATTTTCTTTTATATTTAAACTTATTAAGATTTATAACATTTTATTGTGTGGTTAGGAGTGTATTAAGGTTATTATTAATGTAACGGTTTGAGTATTGGTATTGAGATCATAGACTGCTGATTTGTAGTGTTTTAGTGGTGCTAATTATTAGAGATACTTCCTCATTTCTCTACGGCCGCGGGAAATTGGAAATAATATCTGAAGCACTCTAAGTTGCAACTAACCCATCTAAGATTTGTTTTACGTCACTTGATAACCATATACTGTATTAAGCCGTAGAGATTAGCATACTATATCTTTGATTGTGTGTACGAATATATTCATTACCAGTATTTTGGGTTTGTATTAATATGCTTCAGAGGCTACTGACAGGCAGTGAGGAAGCAATGCGATGCCTCCCTCACCACCTCTTTTAACCCCATTTTTGCAGACAAATATGCCAAAACCGCATGCATTGCATGTGGTTGTGGGGTTTTTACATCGCCTCCCCATTTATATGAATGTGTATTGTTCGGCAGGCGGCATCACTGTAAGTCAGGTCAACTTTTTCATGGGATCAAGCCTCGCAACCCCAGCATGTAAACTCCTCCATCCACTGCCTATTGCAGCTTAAAGGACAAGGTCTAGACAAAGCCTAAGGCCTCATTCATGTGGGGCATTCTACTGCATGGCCATGTTTTAGCTGCACAGGGATGCACAGCTGTTCTGTGCATTCCCATGCAGGCAGTACCACTGATGTCAATTGGGACACAGTGGCTGAATAGGAATGCACAGATGTTCTGTGCATTCCTGTACAGGCAGACCCATCCATATCAATTTAATGTGGGTGCATGTCCCTGAAATCACACTGTCAGCATTTGGGGCCATGCACCTTTACCCACACAGCTGTCAGATCTGACCTTGAAGCCACTGCTTCCCAATTGACATGAATAGGACTGCCTGCACAGGGATGTACAGAACACCTGTGTGGGTAAACATGGCCCTCCATGGCCGTACGCTTTAGCACACCCCATTGAATGAGACCTGAGTAGGAATTTAGTAGGAATTTTGTAAGTCCTGTCGTGATTATGTGTGCTAATGAGGATGTTAGTGGGTTTTTATAGTAAAAATAGTGATTTGATAAACATTTGCACAACTATTATTCTACTGGTCGTGTGCTTTCAGAAAATATATGGTGGGGGGGGGGGGGGGGGGGGGTCTTTTACAAACTCTGAAAGCTGTAAGGGAAAACTTAAAACCTTCAGATATTCAGAGAAATCTTTGTGTGTGTTCCATTTTCACCATTTCCCAAAATTTAAGATTCTACAATATTTGTTATTTATTAACTCAATACAGGTTAAGCTTTTATATTTATCAGTAATTTAGCACGGATTTTGTAAAATGTGCTGTGTTTGTATCTGCGAACAATGATTTTATTGTATTTTTAGTGAAAATATTGTTTTGATAAACATTTGCGCAAATATCGCTTGGCCTTAAAAATCAGTAGAAACTTCTTTTTAATCTACTGGTCATGTGCTTTCAGAAAATATATTGTTTGGGTGGTCTTTTACAAACTCTGAAAGCTGTAAGTGAAAAATTAAAACCTCCATAATTTTAGAGAAATTTGTTTATCTACATTTTTGCATAGGTTTGATTTTCACCATTTTGCAAAAAGGTGCAAATTCAAATTTAAAAATATTTGTTATTTATTAACTCAATACAGGTTAAGTTTTATACTTATTAGAAATTTAGCAGAAATTTAGTCAAATTTGCTGTGTTTGTATCTGCTAATAATGATTTTAGTGTATTTATAGAGAAAATATTGTTTTGATAAACATGTGCGCCAATATTGCGGTGTCTTAAAATTCAGTAGCAACTTCTTTTTATTCTACTGGTCATGTGCTTTCAAAAAATACATAGTTTGTTGGGACTTTTACAAACTCTGAGAGATGTAAGGGAAAAATAATAAAGCAATGGAAAATTTACAAAAATGGCCTGGCTACTTGAGTTTAGAAGTGGAGCGCAGGGCCTGGCAGCTAAACTGATAAACCCTCAGCTTTCATTAAAATAATTCCTGGTGATCATGGCATGAAGGCCCTTGCTTAGACATTTCCTGTTATAGGATGAAAACTTTGTCCCTTTATCCCAGTTGTGCTCCTGCTTTGTGCAGTGGGAAAAAATACTTTTCCATAAGTGGGAATTATCAAGTACACTACTGTACAACCAAGTATCTCCCTATCTCTCCCACAACTCATCGTGGGTTTTCAACAAAAGAAGTAATTAGGCTTGGTGCATAGGACTTAGAGATCACCAGCTCTTGTAATCAGTTATAAGACAAATACACATCTCACAATCAGTAACGAAAAATCAAAAGAAATTGGCTGTACAGTATACTAAAACCAAGGGCGTATTTACCACAAGGCAAACAAGGCATTTGCCAAGGGCAGCACTTTTCAGGGGGGCAGCACTGCCCCCCAGAAGAAAGGACAGAAGAAGAGACACATGCGGCATGGGGACCAGGTGGGATCTGAGAGAGGCTGCGGGCTGCTTGATGGTGTATACAGAGCCTGACTTTCATTTTCAGGGATGTCCAGAGCTGTAAAGGTGAGTGTCTCTCTCTTTCGTTGGGGGGAGGGGAGATGTCTGTTAGTGGATGGCTCCCTCAGGTGAGGGGGCAGGGGCATTGTAGGTCAATGTCAGGCTCTCTCCAGGGAAGGGGGTGCCCGAGGTTTTTTCCTAGGGCAGCACAAACCTTAAATACACCACTGACTAAAATCCTGGTAGTAGGTGGTTACTCAATATCCTGAAAGGCTCTTAGCTGTCTTCTCATGCAGATTGTATTACTGATTGGGGGAGATTTAATAAAACTGGTGCATTCAGACTCAGGTGCAGCTGTGCATTGTAGCCAATCAGCTTTTTATTTCAGCCTGTCCTATTACACAGTTACACAGTCAGACCAGATGAAAAAAGACAAAAGTCCATCCAATTCAACCATTAAAAAAAAAAGTTATAATCCTATACCCACAGTTGAGCCATAGGAAGGCAAAAAAACCAGCAAAGCATGATCTAATGTGCTCCTGCAGGGAAAAAAATTCCTTCCTGATACCCCGAGAGGCAAGCAGATATTCCCTGGATCAACTTTACCTATAAATGTTAGTATCCAGTTATATTCTGTGTATCCAAGAAAGTATCCAGGCCTTTTTTAAAGCAATCCACTGAGCTGGCCAGAACCAACTCTCAAAGGGAGTCTATTAAGCTTTGACAATAAAACCTGGAAGCTGACTGGGTTCTATGTAGGCCTGCACCAGATTTTATACTCTCCAGTTTTAGTAAAACTCCCACATTGTGTCTCTCTGTTGTGTCTTGTAGTCTCTACACCAGCAGTACCTAAGCTCCCACCCTCCACATACAAGAACTGTTCCCAGCCTATTTCCATAATGGCTTCATGGTGGTACCAGTGCATCCTACAGAGTGTAAGTCACTCGAATTTCACAATTTATATTGTTGATTTAAAAAGTCTATTTATTACAATTGATACAAAAACAAATTTATGTTTTAATATGAATTTCATAGAGTCCTTGAATGTTTTACACTGATACTTTGACATAAATATCAATGAAAATTTAGATGGTTGAAATGTAGCTGACAATTTGACTAATGTATTTTATGCTTTGAAGTAATTGAACATTATTTCAAATTCAGGGGCAGATTTAATCACCTTTACAATTCTTTTTCTGAAAGCCAATATTCTGTTAAATGCCACTTGAAATAGCAGCAAACACTTCTGATTTTAATTGAAAAAGAAACTTAACAACCGGCACATCACTGCTGTCAAACTATAGTGATAGCTTTCATCATGATGTTCATAATAAGAATGTAAGCAATAGCAATATAAGCAATGTGTATGGTACTTAGGCTCAATGAGTCTAATGGAAAATTCCCATCAGCTTGCACAGACCTTTGCTGACTTTGTATTTGCTGCTACGAAAAAAAAAAACTGCCATCCTGTAAAATAAAATAATTCAGTATGCAATTCAGTAAATATTCGGTTTAGTGCTTAGTTTGTACTTACACTGCATAATTATATGATAATATAGCATAATAGATTAACTAACTCTAACTTTAGTAATACAGCTTATAAATTTAAGGTGAAATGTGCTGAAGACTGGCAGAATATTTTGCTTGGCTCTACATCGAGTACACATAGAGCATTTGCATACCAAGTTGTGATTTAGTACCAAATCATAATCATTTAAAGGGAAATTTAAGTATTTAAATTTTTTTTTAAGTATAATTTTTTTTCTTTCTATTAAGATACTGTTAAAGGACTGGTTAACCCAAAACAAGTAATGCAATATTACATTATTAACTATGAAAAAGCTTTACATGAATGTTCTTAGTGCTTCACAATTTGTGTAATAAATTTTACTCTATTCTAGCGATAAGCCAAACATACCTGGGTTCATTTCGTGATATGGTCTGAGAACTTTCTCAAAATTTGGATGCCAAATCTGAGCTCCATTCAGATAAGTGGGAGCCAAACCTAAGAAATCAGTAATGTCCATTTTCTAGGCTAATAGGCAGGGAATTCTCAAACAATGACCATCAGGAATTGGGCACTGCCCTGGGGAACATGTACCACAGCAAACAAAATGTTTAAAATGTTTAAAAATATGTTTGGTGGGAGCAGACATTTTATTAATGCTGATAATGAAACATTAACAATGGTAAATTAATTTAAATAACATGCTTGTTGTGCCCTGAACCCACTACTACCACAACCTACTATGGCAAAAAGTGACATTTACAAAGAAAAAACTTTCTGTTTAAAATGGCTGAAAATTACAGTTCTTGGATGCTTTGTTCTGTTTGTAAACAAATAGCGATTCCCTTCATCCTTCACCAAACCCCTTTCCTATATGAGAATCTAGTTTGGATGCAGAGATGGCTCCCCCCAAAAAAAATTCTGAAGCTTCAAACCATAAGGGTATGACATGGATTTTGGGAGAGAACCCCACATGAAAAAGGAAAAAACATGGAGTCTCCCCCAGAATCTACTCCAGACACTTATGTGAGCATGGAGCCCGGCTGGCCAGGAAAGGGCGGGGGGCAAGCACCTCAACATTGGAAGGGTACCTGACAGGGGGAACCCCCAGATAGCAAGATGTAAACAAAGGGGCAGGGTTTACCCAGCAATATCCTTGACTAAATATGTACCATATTTGGTCAATTACATCACCTAGGATCCCTAATGTCACTGACCAAATATGGTCATGGCCAATATTTGATCATTGACATCTCCCAGGATACTCTGCCCTTTGTTTTATATTCAGCTGTGGGGCCTGGGAGCTGTCATTCATGATGAACAGAATTTAGGATAAAGTTGCAGATTGATGGGATTTTTCTTTTGGCAGGTCAGAAGGAGACATTCATTTGACAAGACTGACAAGGATCTGCATGTGATTGATGATTAATTTACATCATAGTATTTTGTTTTTATTTTTTATGTACATTTTACTCATTCACGAGTGGCCAGCATCTGGGGACCACATATTTTTAAAGAGAGCTCCAGATTTTGATACACCCCTTACCAACAGACCCTTACAACCATCAGGCCATCGTTGTGAAGAAGGTGCTTTGTCAAGCTGCCTCCCCTCCACAGCAAGATATTCTTCCCATGTTGATGGCATGTGACCTGGTATGGTCCAGGAGGGGGAGCACATGCTCATCCATAAATCATTGCACACCAGGAATGACTTATACATCTACACATCTACATGTAATATAGATAGATAAACTCTGGAACTCTGCAAAGTCAGTTGCTATCTCGACCATACAGGACTAAATTAGAGGAAAGTAAATAACCAGCTGTGTTAAGTGTATTGTAGCACCAATGCCACTTCATTTATTTCACTTATTTTATTCACTTAGAGTAGGGGCCTTCACACTTTCTAAGCAAAGAGCCAGTTTTCTGTCCATCAAACTTTAGGGGGCCTCACTGCAGCCAGTGGGAGTATGTTCTGGCTTCAGTGGGAATAAACATTGTCCCACAATTGGTATTAGGGGGAGTAATAGTGCCCCATCATTGGTATCAGTGGGGGGAATATTGCCCCACATTGGTGTCAGTGGGAAGAATAGTGCCCCATCATTGGTTTTAGTTGAAGGAATAGAACCCCATCGTTGGTGTCAGTGGGAAGAATGCTGCCCCATTGTAAGTGTCAGTGACACGGGGAATGCCCCACAGTTGCTGACAGTGGGGGGAATAATGCCCCAAGGGCTGGATAAAAGCAAGCAAAGGGCCACATCTGGCCCCTATTCCGTAGTTTGGAGACCACTGATTTACAGTATTATTATGAGGAATAGGTGAAGTGAAGTGAATTAACTTGCATCTACAGTATTGTGCAAAGTGTGAAGAACTTTAGATAGTTCACTAAAATGTTTGTCTTAGATGGTAATTTTATTTCTTCTGCTTTAGTATATTAATACAAAAAAAGTTTATGTTAAGATTAAAAAAATACAGATCTACGAAATTAATGAAGCAAAAGAAGAAAGTGCAACACTGCAGATCCTTGGGTAACCTAACCTGTTTCAAGAATGAATAATTTAATTTAAAGCTTAGTTTATAATCCCTCAAAATCACACAATAGATATACATTTTTGCTAGCAAAAAAGGATGAAATTGTTGAAATTCAACAAAACTGAATTGTAAAACAATATAAAATGTACATGGTGCCAATGTCAACACATATCTTAACTTGAGTACATGATTAAAAACATGAAAAAATAAACATACTGATAAGTAATTACAAAAAAATTAAATTTTTTATACAATTTGTAAAATCAGGACAACTATTTATACAAATGGAGCATTCTGTATAGCACAGCACAAAACATTACAGGATTATGTGATTTTTCATGAATATGAACAGGTTGTGTGCTCATGGTTCATCCTTTGGTGATTCAGTTTGGCACAGCACTGGTTGTGTGAGCATTATCCTGTATTTCGATTGAATTCACTATATGTTGTTTCAGAAGCAGTTGAAGAGAACACAACATTATTGAATTATGTACATTGTTTATCTGGGTTATGTTACAATTTGTGATGTAATACTTTTTCACACTGATGGGTTAGTTGGTGTGATTTATCATCACTGTTATTGTTTGTGCTTGATTTTGGTCCATCACTCTGACAGGCAGCTCCAGCTGGCCAGTAGGAACAAATAGGAGGTAGGAAGCTACAGGAACACTTCGATTCAGAGTCCCCTGTGTAAGCATAGACAGCTAAACATACCCATAGCTCAACCTACTTGTTGGAAATGTAAGCTATAAATATTGTGCAATATTTTATATTTACCTAGGAAAAATAAAACATATATAAAAAAATGTATATTAGCTCTGAGCATAATGATTAAGCTAAGCAAAATATAAATATTGTTAACTGGATACCTTGTCACTTACTGCAGTACAAATGGTAATTCTAACAAGCCATATCTTAATATTTACATTAACCAGCTGCAATTGTTAAGGATGAGGTTCTGGTTTGGAACCATCTTGAGTTTAAGGCATATCTCCGGGATCTCCGAATTTATGGCTGAAAATTTGCACCTGAACACGTAATACGTTGTATAGCCTTTGCCACTAGTTATATGGGTCTCTAAGAGCCAATAATCTGAAGAATCTGAAAATATGGACAAGCCAACTCTATCACTTT